CGACCTCCATGATGTTGGAACCGGTGTGCTGCTGTAGCACCTCCAGATACTCTCATAAAGGAAGTACTGAAGGGACTCGGCTTTCTCTCTTTCTCTCTCACTGCCTGTCTGTCCAACATGGCCATTTATTCTGTGTTAGTCTCGTGTCCTACAGGTTTAGTCATTAACCATCTGACTTGCCCCTCACACGTTTACCAGGGTCACATACAGTCAGTGTATCAGTCGGGCATTTTAATAGTCCTGCACTGCTTTGGTTACTGGAGTAAACTCTGCCTAAGATCGGCCTGAGGCTGCCTGTTACTCTGTGCTCACTTTGTACTCTGACACATTAGATGAATTGTCTGTACCACTGTCTTGGATACTGGCTTTCTCTCTTTCTCTCTTACTGCCTGTCTGTCCAACATGGCCATTTATTCTGCGTTAGTCTCGTGTCCTAGAGGTTTAGTCATTAACCATCTGACTTGCCCCTCACATGTTTACCAGGGTCACATACAGTCAGTGTATCAGTCGGGCATTTTAATAGTCCTGCACTGCTTTGGTTACTGGAGTAAACTCTGCCTAAGATCGGCCTGAGGCTGCCTGTTACTCTGTGCTCACTTTGTACTCTGACACATTAGATTAATTGTCTGTACCACTGTCTTGGATACTGGCTTTCTCTAGCGCTCATTCAGCCCATAGATAATCTGTTAGAATACATTTAAAATCTTTTCTTGGCACACATGATATTTTGTCAAGTTAAACGTTAGATTAGATAAATTTGGCTTTCTTCCAAACATAAACAGCACTTTGTATTTTTAAGTGCTGTAATAGAGATTATCACCACCCAGATTTTGATTTAAAAATAGTTTTTTTTGTACTTTAACCTTAGGCCTCTGGGTCATCTTGCTCTGCCAGGTTTCAAGAGGGAGTCTTGTGCTTCAAGCAGACCTGGTGAGGTTAGAGTTTAGCTTTTTGTATTCTTATTAGCTTTTCTGGACACTGGGAGGCCTCCCAGCAAAGGAATTTATGCGGGGATACTTTAGACAGTTTCATATTTACATTGTCTTGGACTTGGTTTATGCAGTACCAGGGGGTGCGTTTGGATTCTTGGCATGGACCCCTTACTGAGCTGGAGCTGTGTGCCATGGTTGTGCAGTTTCCAAAACCAGACAAGTATCCCTCTGGTTTTGTGAATTAGCTGACATGGTATGCCGTTATGATCCTACTAAGAGATGCACTGTACAATTGACATGCTTAAGGGGTAGATTTGGTGAGACAGAGCCAGCTGTGACTGTTGCAGTTCAAGATTTGGATGCACAGAGTAGACCAGACTGGATAAAGACATATAAAACTCAGTTAATGCCTTGTGCCCTTAGACTGGGAATAGTGAAGGGACGCCTCTCACTTCCACTCATTGGTATTTGAGCTGTACATTTTTAGACTAACAAACCTACATTTCTTGTTCTCAGTGAATGCACCTAGTTTCAGGACCATGTCTGTGGTGACCAGATCTTTTTCCCTCCTCCTCTTTCTAAATTGACTACACTGTTCCACAGCACTCTAGTCGGGTATCTGAAAACACCAGTCAGGGAAAATGAAGCCACTGTGAGGGAAAGTGTGTGGGTAGACGGACTATAATCTTTGATATGTTAGAGTTAAGTACATTGTACTTCCTGGTTGAAAAGTTGCAGTTTACCAAGCTGTTTCTTGTCCTGCCAGAGAAACTGACGTGGGACGCTGGGACCCAGAAGTTGTCGTGTTCAGCTGTAAAGAAGACAAAGACCCTGCTGTACCAGACTCTCATTGACAGAGACTCTTCTGCACCACAAGTTGATCTCTTCAAGTATCCACCTCAGTCTACTTCATTAAATCGTTATTGACTTTGTACTTAAGATTGAGTGACTTTTGTTTTACTCTGATGCCCAACCTTAGGAAACTGAAGTGGGAGAAAACAACCTGCTGACGCAAACAGGACCAACCTCTTTGGTCCTGAGAGTTGAGACTGACCTGATGAGATCTTGAAGGGACTGTTTCAGCTGAAGCTCAGTCAGCTTTACCTGAGTCCACCTCTGCCTTAGATGAAATGAGTGCAGCTACTGAACTGTAACCTTTTCCTCTGGAGTAGTTTTTCTTTTTTTAAGTTGTCAAAGTGTTCCTTGACTCTATTTGAAGACTTTGTTTTAGTTTTGGAACTTTACCACAGAGTTGCACAAAGCTAGGCCATTTTTCCATAATTAAATGGTGGAAGAACCCAGACAGGCTTAGTGGTTAGACTGAGCGATTCTCCATACACATGAAGTTGTGCTGTGACATGTTGTAAGCCTGTCTTGATAAATGTAGTTGTGCTGATTTCTAAATCATCACTGCCCAGAATTTAATATCTTTATTTTACTTAAGGGTTACATCTCTGAGTTGTCTCACTCTGCCAAGTTTCAAGGGGAGATTCGCGCTTCAGGTAGGCTGGGGGAGGGAAAGTTTTGCATTTTGTATGCTTATTATATTTTCTGTACATGGGAGGCCTCCCAGCAGGGGAATGTATCCTACCCCTGTAAAGTATTATTGCTGATGTAGGGATACGTTTAGCAGTTGGGGTTGTTGCCAGACCTCTGTTGTGCGGTAGCTGCGATACCGACCGTGAGTGTGTTTTTGGGGTTCTTGGGAGGGAGCAAGCCTGACAGAGACAGACAACTTGGATGACTAAATAAACTCTGAGACACTCAAAGTGAGTGTATTTGCCTTATTTTCCATGATAAGAATGACAGGAGTGATGACTATGAGAACTATCCACTCACCCTGACCGGTCGAGGCAGAAGGCCGCCCACCTTGAGGCCAGGTCTGTCTGAGGTTTCATCATGAAACTAATAATTTCTTGAATGTTAACTTCTCCTGGTAACTTTGCCTTAAGTAGAAAGACCTTGTTACAACATATAATCTTTAACATTAGGTTACTGCTGCTTTGTCATCTGTTTAAGATTAATTTTCAGCCACAATTTATGCTTGTATTTCCATATCACTATCATAGACTGATATGTTAACCTTACCTTAATGTTTAAAAACAAAAAACATGGAGCTCCCGGTGTGCAGAGCTTCTGATGGTACCCACAATAACATGACTCTTGGAGCTTTAAACTGACCATAAAATTTAGAGTTTTTTTTTTCAGTCTCCAGGCATTACAGCTGATGTTATTACAAATTACAATTCTTGAACCAAAAACAATGCAAAAAGCTAAAGGCAACAGTTAAAAAGGGAGAACGATGCCATCTTTGATCACACATTAGAGTCAAAAGAACGGCAAACAGACAATTGATAAATTGAAGATAAGGTCTCCAGTTTTTGGTCAGTGCTTCCATAACATCTAAATCTTTTGTGTGGTAAAAATAATAGTGATCCCAGTATAATAGGCTACTTTGTTACTTTTGAGGTTTTGTTTTTGTAAATGCATCTCGGGTGCCATCTGTCTGTCAGATGCTATTTTTGGGAATTTTCTAATATAATATGAGCAGCTGGACGAAGCAGAGGTTTGGCTATGCGAGAAAAAAAGCTTGTGTGCACTATAGATGCATAAAGCTAGATACCGGGCTGAAACATGGTGCCCATTCTGTGCAAATAAAGTTGCTCACCTGGCACATTTATCCAGGTCCTTGGTGCCAGAAGCCCAGAAAAGCTTTTTTGCATGTACAGTGGTGTGAAAAAGTGTTTGCCCCCTTACTATATACATACAAGTGTATATGCCAGGAATGACTGGTACATGTATTTACTATAAATGTAATATTGGAAAATTGGCTCTATATTGATTGATGCCTCTTACATTTGAGCCCTTTCCTCTGAGAAACTATTTGTACCTTCCTTTGTATTAGCAATGGCAGTTGTGTGCTCAAACAGTTCAATCATTTTATTATATTTTACCTTTTACTGCTGCAGCGCTTTCTGAAACAAGTACAGTATGATTTACTGGTGGGTGCTGTGGTGAGACACTGTCCTCTGGTGGAGCAGATCAAACTGGCTCTGTAGGGCTGATCCATACACATACACAATCTGATTTGAGCTGATCTCTAATTGTTTAAATGTTAACACAGTCATGCATAGTTTAAATGAACAAAAATATGGGAAGAGTTGTACTAAAGGTCATTATTAGCAGCTGCAAACGCACATCTACTGTTAAAACCACAAAGAATAGGGATACATTTTACACAGGCTTCAAAGTCACTAAGAGTTTCATATTTAAAAAAATAAGCTCAAATAAAAACAACAAAGTAAATGAGTAATAAATATTTTGCTTTGAGCAAGCAGTGTTGAGAATCAAGTTGACCTTCAACACCCAGGTTGGTGTTTTAGAGATGTAGATTTGCTGTCGATGGTGACGACAGCTCTCCATTTGGATACTTGTAAAATGATAAACAAAGGCATTAAAGTGACTTGAAACACTGTCACAAGTGTTTATACTTTTGAAGAGTCTGTACCATTGTTTTGATCTCCAACTCTTTCTCTGTCATTCTGCATGTTAGTGTTGCTGATGTCATTTTTTTTTCTAAATGCTTTTAACTTTGACTTTACAAGTTAACCCTGGTCAAGCATAGTAAGAGAAATGGTACACAATATACTGTTGTCATGTAAAGTCATAGTTTGGCCACAATACTTTGCTTTTACAGTTTGACATTGTCCCCTTCAGGTTACAGTGAAGATATAGACAGAAAACCTGCAGTGGATACCTCCTAAAGATTTTCTTAAAAGGAAAAAAGCACATGAAATGAAACAAAACCTGTGAACTGTACCAGCCAACTAACAAATTACACTTCTCGCTGCAGCATTCACATTACCTGTTCAATCCACTACAACTCTTCTGCCACATTTTCCTCCATTATGAGGCTTATAATGATCAGATTTGTTAAAACTGGTATAGTAAAGGTAGAATTTATGAATTATACTATAGTCCAGGAGTACATTCTATTTTACAGATGTGCCCTATATAAGTGGCCACCAAGTGTACATGAATATTCACACCCTTTTTTGTGATGGCTGTCTAAATGGACTCCTGTGTGCTGGCTGCAGAGAGGGGTGTGCTGGTGAGGGTGAGCATGGCTGCGCTGTGCGCTAATGCCAGTGCTGTGCCCGAGCATTTGTTCACTGAATTTCTCTCCCCTTCTGGCCCGCTTGTACGCCCGGGCTCTCCATTCGCTTCCCTCCCTCCTCTCCTTTTCATCCTCCACATCCTCTTGAAGCTGTCTGTCACAAAGCAGTAAACCACTGGATCCAAACAGCTGTTTAGGCTGCTCAGGGTCACTGTGATGTGATAGGCAAGCACATGCCCCACCACCTGCCCAAGCCCCTGTCTTCCAACTTTGACCCGGAAGTAAAGCAGCACCTGGCGGATGTGGAAAGGTGTGAAACAAACAGTAAAGACCACCAGGACGGTGGCTAGCAGCCTGATGGCACGAGCCCTCCTCGCTCTGCTCTGCTGGGTCATTGGGCCATGGCTGGAGGATAGAAAACAGGTGACACGCAGTGTGAAGCCCACCACAGCAAATAGGGGGAGGAGGAACTCCAGGATAGTGAGGTAGAAGAGGGCAGGGAGGAGCATACAGGAGGAGCTGGACTCCAGTACTGTGGTCTGAAGAGCAGAGAAGAGAAGGGTTGGGGAGGGATGCCAACATCAAGTGTAAAAGTGCCTTTTCTCCACAATTTTGATGTCTGTTTTTCTTATCTACCACAAATGAATTTAACAAAACAAAGATTCAACTACTGCATCAGTGGCTCCCAAGCATTTTAGGTTGGGACCCCTTTTTTGATTTATCTGTCTCATTTTAGAGATGTTTTAATCGGTTGTTGATGGTAATTTACTCAGTTGTGTCAAACTGGAAGGACCATCACTAAACAGAAGCGGTGTGGTCTACAACACCACTTCCAGTGCAGTGCTGATATTCTTCCCAAGACAGTTTAGCAACCATTCATACTTTGACTCACATGACCCTAAGGATACAAATGATGCTCCTTATCCTGGTCCTGCTTGTGTGCCTGTTTGTATCGCCTGCACTTATCTGTATTTGCCTGTATTTGCCTTTAAACATTGTGTTTTATTAAAGTTACTCTGTTGGCCTGTGTGTTTATGTACGCCGGTCATGACAGGAAACCATCACCATATCAAATTCAATGCTTCACATTTGCTGTTCTAAACACATGGTGACTCATTCTGTGGGACAGAGGTTCCCAGGCTAGACTTCTTCTGAATCATAGCAGCACTCTCAAGAAGCTCTGCTGAATGTTATATATAGATCTTAGGGTCTTTTTTGGGAAAAATACCCTGCTCCAGTGAATTTCCACTAAAACGTGAACCTTTTGGTTTGGGTTAGAACAAAGCCTGAATATTGGAGCTTGGGAAAAGCAGTGATATATTTCTTCAGATGACAAAGTGCCACTTACAAAAGCTCAAACGTTATCAGTGGAACATTTAAAGATATGTAATTCCAGACTGTTGACAGTGTTGGGTAATGCTTAATATTACTTTTCATAGTAACAGTAATATAATGCATTATCTTGCATATATAGTAATATTACTTTAAGCAATAACATGCTACTACTTTCAGATATAGTATTGTGATTTTTTTTTTTTTTTAATTGCATTCTGGACAAACTATCTCTTCAAATGTCTAATCCGTCAGCGGGCAGACAAACTTTGTTTTCCCTCTGCAAGCTAGTGGTCAGTATAGAAGCAGGCTTCAACACAACACCACAGTCTTTAAACAAAAATGTTTAGAATAATATAAATTGTCTACTTTAATATCCCTGTGGCATGGGAATTTAATACCGATGGTTTAATGACCGCATGAACTGAGATTTGAAATTTTTTAATTTTGTCTCAGTGTCTTGTGTTTGCAGTGTGTATATCTTCACCTGGAAAGAATAGGTGACTACAACTGCAGTCAGCCACACTATGGCACTGACACACTTGGCTGCTCCAGTGGTCCTCCATCGATGGAGAGTACTGGACGCATGGACGACTGCGAGGTACCGATCTATACAGATACTGAGAGGAGGGGAGGAAGAGGAGTCACAGAGAAAAGAGGTAATGTTTTTTGGGTTTTTTATGTTGTACATGCCTATGGTGTTGATTTTAAATGTTTAACACACACACACCTGGTTAGAAACAGGATACTGCAGTACATGTTGACAAAGTAGCTGAAGGTATGGACATAGGAGCAGGCCACACAGCTCCCTCCACTGTGGTACAGGGCGATGCGAGCAGACAGCGACAGCGCCACCAGCAGGTCGGCTACAGCCAGGTTTATGGTGTAAATTACAGAGGCTGAGAATTGGGCGGAGGCCCGGCAGAAGACAAAAAGAGCCAGACTGTTGAGGACCACACCTACCACCAGCATCAGGTAGTTACACACCTGCAACAGGGAGGAACAGACTGTCAGCTGATAGTCATGCAGGGTCAAGAGAATATTTGAATGTTCAGCGCTTTTCTCTTTCACATCCTTCACTGGTCTGTGTCCTGGCTGGTCTGCTGGATTTCAAATAATTCTAATATCATATTACAGTATTTTTATTTTCTTCACTGAATGTATTTTGCTCTTGAATTAGATTCTTGTGTTTATCTTTTGACTGGTAAAGCTTGCACTTTGGGATAACCTCCCCATAACCCTGAAAAAGATGGTGGATAAATGAAAATAGCAAAGTCATGACATTGTTTCTCAAGAATTACTTAACATTAGCTAAATTTAATTAAGCTTGTAACTGACAAAAATGATCTGGTATTTCGTCTTACCATTAGAGAGACCCATACAGAATAGAAGTCTTGATACAGCTGCACATCTGGGTGGTATGACACACCCCACCGCTGGTCCCAGGTGCTGCAGTTAGTTGGGTCCGGAGTTGGGAGGGGCAGGAGGGGCAAGAGGGGCTTAGTGCCGGGACTGGAGCTGATGTTGGTAGGAAGACTTTCCATTGGTGGCAAAGGATGAAGGAATAATAGGTTGGGGTCTGAGTGGCTGGTGGTGAAATCAAGAAGTGAGAAGAAAAACATTTTTTTAGTGGAAAACAACCTAAAATGCAACCTGCTATGTAGGCGTAGTGTGAAAAAAGACATAGGCCAGTGTGATCAGAGTACACTGAAATGTAGTAAATAAAAACTGTAGAAACAGCAGCATTACCTGGTAACAGAAATAGATGAGACACCATGACAAAAAAGTAAAATACAATATGAATTAACAGAACAATGATTGTGGTATGACAGCATCATGTGAAAGTTGTGTTTGTTAAATTACATATTTTCTTACATACTGTACATGTGTGTGGATGTGTGAGGGAAAATGAATAAGGTCCAGCAGCAGCAGCCACTGAGAAAATGCTTAAAAAGGAAACAAGGTGGGATTTTGATTGTTTGTGCGAGTAAACAAGTGAGGAGTCAAGCAACTTTGAACAGACATGATTCAGGGCAGCTAAAGGCAGGGTGGGTCTAATGAGAATAGAATAAAGAAGACCGCTCAGAGTTCCTAGGGGATAACTGTAGGTAATGTAAGACCAGGTCTTGTGTTGTGGAGAGAAACACAGCAGGTTGTGTATTTTGTGGAGTTGCTAGTACCATGGGAGGACACAGTAGATATACAGGGTTGGCAGCAGAGGGGTGAGGTTGGAAACCTACGATGTGTCCAGTGTAAGGGTTTTGTTGCAGACCAGTCTTGTCCTTATTAATTGAACAGGGTGTAGAAGAATGGGTTCAAAGAATGCAGCAACTCAACCAGAAGTGTGTGGTGTAGTGTTTGCTAAAACAAGGTAGCTGCAGAGGTTTGTCTGGCAGATTACCAGGGTGGTGGACTACTGTTTGGTTTATATGGTGGCCCAGGCACAATGCTCATGCTGCCTAGCTTGTTGTTTGGTGTAGGAGATGACTCAGGTAGTATGTAGGTTTGCTTTCCACACAGCTAACATGCTAATCAGTGCTCATAGCAACTGCACGGCTTAGTGATTAGTCAAACTTCATTTAACATAAGTATGACTGAGGATGCTCACTAGACTTGGAGCACATATAACTGTTTACTGTTTAGTAACTTTGAACCATTTTTGTTCAACTAATAATACACTAATTATTCTGTTTAATTAATGAATGTTTGTTGAAGACAGATACCTCAAACTTACATCTTGGTGTCAGCCTTCAATACTGTATTGTAAAAATAAAAAAAACTTAAGCAGCTCAAATCTAAAGTGACTGGGTTAAAGCAAGTCTAAGCTTTGTGAGCAGACACACACTCACCAACTAAAACCTAAAAGAGTAATGATGCCTAGGAATGAAAAGTGGTCAACATCAGCAGAAGTTAATCCAGACAGAGAGATTTCAGAAATCCTTGTCTTATAAACAACGTTCACTTGTATTCTGAAGAGGACTGAATCCATTTTCATATGCTCTCTAAAAGGATGTGACACTTTTCAACAAAGTACATGACCTTGTGTGTAAACGCTGTACAGTATTAGTATGAAGCCTATTAGTGTGTAGGTATTTAACACGCCGCTGACATGTGTTGAACACAAACATATGCTTATCTTGAACAACACATTTGATGAATGTAGCACACGCTTTAAAATCCCCAATGTGGAGATGCTGTTCATGTGAATAAATTTTCAAATGAATGTACTGTAATGCTACAAAATGTATAAATATATAAGGATATTGAAAGTACCCTGGTTTGGTTTGAGGATGTGAGGACAGATAAAATAGTGTAAAATAAAACTTGACAGCCATGTTGCACTGTGTTGGAAAATTTGCTCTATAAATTTTAAGATACCCAAACTAGTTAGACAGTGGTTGGACAAAACAATCCCGACTCAAAATACATGTATTAACTTTTACTGGTGCTTTCAAGTTTGTCACGTGGTTTACATTAGCAGATGGAGTCTGCTCAGTTGTTGTAGATCTGCTCACATCCAAGCTCAATAGCTGTGATTTCAGCCAGAACACTTTTTGGGCTGTCTTTAAGGCTCTAAAACACGTTTTCTCAATCAGCTTCTTATTTGAATAGACAGAAAACCAGATGGATTTCACCTGGATCACAGTTTATTGTTAAAAGTATTACTTGACAGATTCAGTGGTTTTGGCCAAACTGTCTTCCTTCCTTTTAAAGACCAGAGACAAATGAACCCCGATGTGTTAGCATGTCTTTCCACTCTTCATCATCATCGCAGACAGTTGGATAAAACATTGCCAAGGGCCTTGGTTAAAAGACAGAGAAATACCTGCACACTGCTACCTCGTGGCCAGCCCTCCTTTTGCAGGCAAGATTTTTCTGTCTGTCCCTGTAAAATGACAAAGAATCTGGAATGAGCCTGAAGATTAGACTATTGTTAATCAGCATCTTGAGCCTTACTTTCATATCAGTGTTTTATGTGGATATTTAACGTGTGGGCTGAGGAACATCAGCAAATTCTGGCAGACACTAATGAGAATCTAATAAAATAAACAATAAACCTGCAGAGTTTATGGATATACACTTACCAGGCACTTTATTAGATACACCTATACAATTGTATGCACTTCAATGCAACACTTCTGCCTTAACGTGCTTTTGCAGCTCAAAATGTTTCAGTTTTTGGTGAAATTGTCATAAATGTATACATTCAATCATATGTCTATTATTGAGGTCATAGTTAAAGGGGGTGTTTGATTGGACTACATTATATTCAGAGGTGTCTATATTTTTGTCCTCCCCAGCTACATACATGAGAGGGTCAGAACATTAGGAACACCTAAACACAGACGTTAAGGCAGAAGTGTTACACTGAAGTGCATACAATTGTACAGGTGTACCTAATAAAAAGCTTGGTGGGTGTATGTGTGCCTTTCTGTTGATTACCTGGGACCTAGATTCACTTCTGAGGGCTAAAATTGGATCACATAACTTCCCTTTAAGCTGTGACAGTGCGGCCCAATAATATTATTAGACTCAATAGGGAGGTTTTAAGCAATCTTAAATGAATGACAGCTCCTATTTTAACATAAACAGAAATCACTAAGCATGAGAGAAGTGCTGCTGTGGCTGGTGGGTGTTAGTAAAATTTCCTGAAGCAGCTGGGAAAGTGTTTTTGGGTGAAATAAATGCATGTCACTCTCCTTTCCTTCAGCTGTTATCACAGAGGGATTTTTGGGCACACAGCGTTTTCGGTATGAGTATTAGTAACTAGGAAAATGAAGCAGGATGATGTTGACTTTGTGCTCGGATTGATAACTTTTAGAAACTAAATAGAATTTCGTACATTATGGATGATGAGCTCAATGCATAATTTTATGATCTGATCGTGACTGATCACTAAACAGGTGAAAAAACTGTTTCTGAAACGTACCTGTTCAAGAAAGAGTGATAAAGTCCTATTATGGCAGATCCACCCACAGTTTCTTGGTGGTTTGATATTTATGTCCTTTTTCTAAGTTTCTGTAAGATTTCTCCTTTTATTGTTTCTTTTCTAATTGTGTCTTCTTTCAGTAGCTGGCAGAAGAGAGTGAGTAGAGACTTGTGATGTGAGCCACTCTGGGTGGGACTATTCTTCAAACAGAGAGAAGAGTTAGGCAGCTGAACCTCCTCCTCCTCGTTCTCTCACATCGCTCCCTTGTCTCACAGAGATGCAGTGTAGGAATGAACATAGATTACAATAGATTAAAGTGATCCTTCCATCGTGATCCTCTTTCTGCTCTTTCTTTCTCTTCAACCTTAATTTTCTTTCCATCTTTCTTCCCCTCATAATAACTCCCCTCTCTTCCTCTATATCTGTCTGATGTTTTTGAAATTAGGAAAGGATGTAAGTGTAAGAAAAGCAGAACAGGATGTAGTAGCTCAATAAAACAAGATTTTGCCCCAAAGGCATGAAACATAGACATGGCAGATGTTAAAAAATATTTGGTCATTGAGGCAGGCAAAATTTGAAAATACTATAGATATGCAGTCAAAACAGGAAACAAGAGTCATAAGCAATAGAGCTTGGTCCAAAAAGACAGACGGGTCAAAATACAGCAGGCAGGAAAATGGGTACAGTAGAAAAGCTGAAAGACATCGAAAGCTACTTCGACAATTTGGCAAGAAATAGATGGAAAAGGCAATAACAGGATCTTAAATATCAGGTGTGTAAGTGGCTGGCAGGTTTAAAAAAAGACAAGAAAGTGTAAAAATGTAATCTGGCTTGTGACACTTGTTTCTGTGTGACAAGAGAAAAAAATCCAGAATGAACTATTTTAGTCAAGTGGGTTTTCAATAATATTTATTTAAAGCTATCTCTGAGGTGGTCCAACACTGAAAGGGTTTGAGAGGATTTTTTTTTTCACCTCTGTTTGTCTTTCTGTAAATACCTTATGCAATTAGAGATGTGAGGCTGGAGATAATAGAGAAACAGTCAAAGAAGTGTAAACTGGTACTGTAGATGTTTTAACTAAGTTGCTACCCTGCAAACCAGTTACACCAAACTTGCACACACATCTAGGGGCTGAGGAAAAAAAAGAAAGAGATGGAGAGGAAAACACAGAACTCTTTTACATTTATGAACCACAGTAAGATAAACAACTGGAGAGGTGGCCACCATTCCACAATAAGTGTGCTTTAATGTCCCAGTACATGTGTTGAGGCATGGACCTGGCTTAAATGCTATAGGGAATTTATTCAGCATTAGTTTTTATGAAACTGATAAGAAACTTTTGATTTGTTTTGTGCAATGTCATCATGCAGTGTGCCTGGCTAATGTTTGAGCTGAGGTTTCTTGGCTTGTTCAAATATTTGAAAGCACTGTCAGAGGTACCCTAGCTCAGCTTGTTTAAAGTGCTGCAGACAGAGAGGAAGGACATCCCACTTGACACTTTAGTATGATTTAGTGGGTGAAATGAGTGCAGAAATATACCAGTGTGGGGGGAATTCTATTTCTAGAGACTGTTATTATTGTATTTTGGAATTAAAGTGGAACTCCGGCAATTTTACACTTAAAAGGCAGTTTACTAGTTCACAAAAAGTGCTACAAAGTTGATAAAATCAATTGTATGATGTCTTCTGTGGGTTTGGTGGAGATTCCTAAAGTAACAATGCTTGATTATCATGGCTTGAAGAACAGAAAGCCTCTGCTATAAACTGAGAGCACAGAGTTTGAAAGCTGTGGGCACTTACCAACCAGAGAAGGTCTAATGAGAAAAGGCTCTCAAATTGCATTATGTAAAGTGTAGGATTCTAACAGGGATTAAAACTCAAGACATTTCTGCTTCTGTTGCATCCTTTGGACCATTGTTTCAAATTTCTCTTTTCCCAACTTTCTGGAAGTGTTATACTAAATCACTGGATTATAGCTTTAAGTGTTTTTTGGTTTTAATTGTTCTGCAGAAACAGAGGTTTGATCATTTAAACTGTGTAGTTTTTGTAATGCATTTTCATCTAGGAATAAAATAGGATATCTTCAATATTTTAGTTGAATCTACATAGATTAGGCCGATAAGTCTTTATAAATAAAGGTGTTAATGAAGCTATTTGTGTGTTAGTGTGTCGCATTTTAATGCAGCTGAATGTTGACATCAAGGTAGTATGATTGGCAATTTTATTAATTTCTGAGTGTCTACTAAATGTACCTTGTGGTTAGATTGTTTACTGTTTCCAAGGTCGCATATATTTACAGCATTTTGTTGCCACAGCGACCTAGATGCGTCAACATTTAAGAGCCAGTGTGAACAAGAAAAAGCGATTTTGTTCCCATGAAACACTAAAATAATGAGGAGATGGCCGTCATTCTCCTTTCGTTTCACAGTAGATACGTGTTTGGGTATGTCAAAAGACGACACAATTTAACATATTCACATTGGACAAAGTTAGATGTTTTTAAGTGGAACTTTGTAGTTTCTGGCAGCGGAACGGATGATTTATTTAGTACACCACGGAAGCAGTAACGTTGGGAACGGAACCAAAATCTGTAAACAAACGTAAAGGCTGTTAGCAACAGGTTTGCCAGATTGAAACACATGTGTGAAACGACATCGAGCTAAACACAGAAAATGTTTAAAAACACATTCCAAAGCGGATTCTTGTCCATCTTATACAGCATTGGCAGCAAACCACTTCAGATATGGGATAAAAAGGTAAGTAGCCATTCAGAATCCACGAATCTAACCTAGCTAGCTTTCATAGCTAACGCTAGCGTTATTTCTGCTAAAGATAACCAAGTCAGTGTTATGTGTCTTTGGGAATAAACTCGCTGATTCTTTAATGTTAAAGTTGCAAGGTGGGCCAGAAGGTTAAAATTAAGATTAATAACAGGAGAGGATATAATTGGTTTCGGAAAGCTTGTGTTTTAAAAGGCATTGACAATATTTACTGAATGCATAATCCTGATTGATGGGGGATTTTAGAGGCCAATATCACTATTGATGATAGCGAGAATAAAGCCATCGATGTGTTACATTAACATATATATATATATAAATGAAGAATCAGTTAACCTTTTTAGATATCAAGATACTTAGCGTTCATTTTTCAGTTAACTTGTAATTTGGCAAACTCTACATGCTGTAGCTACTGCGCACTCTACATTGCTGTTATTGCACTTCTGGTTAGATGTTAAACTGTATTTCGTTGCCTTGTACTTGTACATGTGTAGTGACAAAGTTGAATCTAATCTAATCTAATGGTGACAATACTGTTTCTAAATGACCTTACTGTACCTGCATTTCTGAACCTATTTGACCTTCATATACATAAATACAGACATATCTGCTAAGTTAAGCTGACAGTGCTTTTTATCTTTGAGAAACACCTAGACAATTACTTATATAGTAAATAAATATACATTTTTCTGTGTTCACAGGTGAGGAACGGTCACATCAAAAGAATCACAGACAACGATATACACTCATTGGTGCTGGAGGTTGAAGGAACAAACGTCAGGTGGGTTTTGTGTGTTTATTGACAACTCAGGTAAACACATTCAAGATCCTTTATGTTAACCTGGTGTATATCTTTCTCCTTACAGCACCACATATATAACATGTCCTGCAGACCCCAAGAAGACACTGGGCATCAAGCTTCCTTTTCTGGTGATGATCATCAAGAACCTCAAGAAGTATTTCACCTTTGAAGTCCAGGTGAGGATGGCACACTAAGCAAATGCATATACTGAGTGTACAGTTCAATTATATGTACAGTATACTGTATAACAAACTAAAACTCAAGGATGATTGATTTTTCAGTTTTTATGTAGCAGTACTGATATTCATGGTTATGCATGCTTTCTCTGCTTCTCCTCCCCTCTACAACTTTCAGGTGTTAGATGATAAAAATGTTCGGCGGCGGTTTCGGGCGAGTAATTATCAGAGCACAACGCGAGTGAAGCCGTTTATCTGCACCATGCCCATGAGGCTCGATGATGGCTGGAACCAGATTCAGTTCAACCTATCAGACTTCACTAGGAGAGCCTATGGAACCAATTATATTGAGACACTGCGTGTACAGGTTAGTGCACAGCTAGCCATTATTATTGCTAATCGGCTACAGTAAATCTTCTCCTCAGGGATATAAATTTACTGTAGACTCTGTATAGTGACCTACTTAAACTATACTTTCTCTTGCTAATGGCTGATCTGTTTCCCTGTCAGATCCACGCCAACTGTCGTATAAGGAGGGTCTATTTCTCAGACAGACTGTACTCTGAGGATGAGCTCCCAGCAGAGTTTAAACTCTACCTGCCAGTCCAGAACCAGAAGGCCAAGGTAAGACATATGCAGACAACTTCACATATACTTATATATGCATATAATACAATAATCATGCCTGAATTGGGTGTTTAGACATTTGTCCAATGTTTCTTTTGTGTTTACTTCTTGCAGCAATAGAGCTTCTAAACCTGCACAATTTCCCCTGAGCAGATGTGGAATTTAGCTGTAAGGTTATTTTTTTGTGTGTGTTTATGAGGATCTTGAAAAATTTGCAGCATTGTGATTTTGCAACTGTGATTTTTGAGTGCTCTGTGTTGCACAATAAAGTTTTCTATGGACTAATCCATTAACAGAAACGTCATGATAATTCACTGCTACCCCCTAATAGACAGAAGGGCATGGCGCACAGGTGGCATTGCGGCTCGTCTATGTGACATGCATCACATGACTCCCATAACACAAACTGGGAGTGCAAATTCAGTGCAAGACTACTGAAATGGGCGAGTACTCCAGTCTTTTATGCTCTTGATGCGTGTCAACGCTGGGAATATAGAGGAATAGCATGCCCTGAAGAGTTGTCAGTTTGCGACCAGTTTGTGGGCTTTCATCGAAAATAATGGGTGTGGGTATTTTTACACACATCAGATGCCGCCTGTGTGCGGTGCCCTTAAAAGATGAGTGCTTGCTTTTAAAAGTAAAAATAAAAACATCCAACCACTCATAGAATGCCAAGTCTTTATCAAATAACACAATTTCAAGCATTGGCAAAACATATAACCTTTGTTTAACATTGGATTTCAGTAATACATTCATTTTAATACAAAGTGCATTGTACAAAGACAAAAGTGACCCTTTAAAGCAATTTGTTTTTATATAAATTGTGATAGTCCCACCTCAAGCTGCAGTGACATTTATTTGTGATAAATATCCTGTCATTTCATAGTTTCCATTTTCAAGAAATCTCTCAAAAAAAAAGCATGGCACAAAGAAAAGTAAACAATTCAGGTAAGATTTCTTATGAAGGTTATACAAATAAGAATACCTTGTTCTAAATTTCTGGTCTGTTCAATGAATGTCAGTTTATCGAAGTGAGTTGAACTTTCATTTTAGATGGACTTTGTGTACAAGTTTTACTCAGAAATTATTTGCCAGCAGCTGACATTGACTTTTACTTTGATGTTTTACTGTTTGGTATTTTAGTCTATTCAGGTTACATGTGGACAAGACGTTTAACTGAGGATTGTTAAATCTTAGGTTCCCAAATATTTCAAGACACCATAAATATAAATGCATTGCAAATCTATTGGCTACATAAAATAAAGTTTAGGATATTTCCTTCCTTTTTAAGTATTTGACCCCTGTCTTTTGTATATAAAACTACAGGTATATATTTTTTACCTTTTGAGTTTAAGGATAATTTTACAGCAGGCACTTACAAATTTCTATAAGGAATGTTCTTTATGACCAGTGGTATGATTTAACAGTGGTTTCCCTGAAATGTGATCAGTGAGGACAAATATTCCCAATTTAAAAACACATTTTACATAATACATCAATTTCAAGAGATTAAAGTCAGAACTCAGTTTGTTTTTCTTTTGTGGCACTAATCCTCTTCTGTAGATAGTCGGTAGCTGTAGTCAGAATTAACACAAAAAACAAAAAAGCAAAGACAAATAACACTTGTAGCATGTATTGTTATACTGAGCTTGCACTGATGTTGAAGAGGCAGCTACCTATAGGTCCATGACTGTACCTAAATGGTCACAAAAACACCTTGCTTCCTTCAGTTTCCTGCTATAATAGTTTTAATTGCATTGCATCAAATGGAGGAGATAGATGGACAAAGCATGTAAAATAAATGTTAATGGTCAATTGGAAGACCTGGAGAAACATCATAAATGTGATTAGAATTTTAAAGTTTTAGGTTCTGGAAACAAAATAGCTTTAAAAAACATGTTGCCTTTGGAAAAACACTAGCAGTCACAATTTGGACTTTCCCATTCAAATAAATGGAAAAGTGTGGCCAAACGTTTGCCTGGTAGTGTAAGAAAAGTGACTTACATAGCTACTGATACAGAAACAGCCGCTCCTATCGGCTCTATGAAGGCAGTTCTGTTGTGGCTCATACTCGCTCGGCAGTGGTTCACCTTTGTTGCCCAGGATGGTGTGTGCGTTTTCCAAAACTGAGTGCTTAGCTCCAAGCTGTATTTCCACTTTTGAATCCCCTGAAGTGCTTTAATATTCAAGAAACTGTTGTTAAAACTCACAGGACAATTAGATTCAGTACTCTAGATCCACCAGTATAAGCAACTCGGGGGAACCCAAACACCAAATCATTAGCTTTTTTTCTGTTAAATTAGTTTAAGATAAACTCATACTTCTTACAAATCTAAAGGTGAGGGACCCCTTGGGTTCAGGATTAACTGCTCACAGTTGAAACATCCATTTAGAGCTGGTGGTGACGGTGGATCCGGATAATTGCTAACACTGTAGGCTAAACATAAAAAGTCATGTTTGTCCTACAAAAAGTGGAATCCTGCTTTAAATCAAGCACTTCTCGTGTTGTTAGTATCATTTCCTGAAATACTGTGGTCCGTTTCTCTTAAGTGCAAAAACAATCTTCCGATGGTTTACTGACAGGTTTGTATTGGCAAAGCTTTCGATAGTTGCCCCCTTTACTTTGTCTACATGGACTCTTTAGCATGTCCTGCAGGCTGGTATGTGTTCCCCTAGTACTTTGTGGTAGTCCCGTAGTGAATGACATAGTAATCATGGACGTACATCAACACAGCGACAGGCTGGCCAATGATGAGTGACATCCACACAGCAGCGTTGCCATAGTTCCCATTCAGGAAGCGACTAACAAACCAAGCCAGAGGAACCTGCAGGGGTTAAAATGCAGAGGTCAATATGTGTTTGTGTACAAGTGTGTAGAGCAGATGGAGGAGAGAACGAGTTGTCAGAAAGGTCAGTGTGTCTCACCTGAGCCATCATACCCATAAAGGCCCACAATCTGAACATCTTCAGAGGAATGCTCACCAGGTACTGAAGAAAATGAGTAACAATAAATCAGGGAGTTCTTAAAAATTTATTAGAAATGTGTAAACTACACACACATAACTGATAGAAGTTGTTGGCAGGTGTGCACTGTCCATTTCCTAAATGTTTTAAATGCACATTTTGAAATTGCATATTAGCATAAAATATAGCAGAAATTTTTTAATTTACATTATCTTCTAAATTCTTGTAGTTGTGTGTGAATAAAGAAACCATCCAAAACAGACCCTTTAATGCATAAACTTTAAATATAAGTAGAAGAGTGAGTGCTTGTTTACCTCATGAAAAAAAGCAGACACCAGGAAGACGGCAGTTTGAGCCAGAAACTTGTTGACCCCCCTCTTCAACATTGGCTTATAGAAGTGCCTGTAACACACAAAACCGCACAATTAAACATGGCTTCACATAGCCTGCAATGAGAACGGGAGGCTTCAAAACAGGGGGATCAAGTTGAAAATACCAAATGACCTCGATAGAAAAGGTTTGGCACTCACCTCAGGCACCACTTGTGCACTGGGATATTCCAGTTGGCCCAGAAATAGGTGATGGTCTCAGAGTTCCTGAAATGAACAAAAATGGCCCAGTGAGAATTTGCATTTAAGACCATTTGTCATTCTGAATGACCACATTACCCTGGAGATTAAATAGGTCACACTAAGCACACAAACCTGTTTACAAGTCTTTCCATTAGTTTTAATTACAGTTTGAGTGTCTCTAAATGTATACACATTGTTTATGTGCAAAACGACATATGTTCTGTACTTCCTATTGTACGATCCCTCTACTCACCACCAGTCCTTGTAGAACTCTCTGTCTCCAAACTGCAGCAGCTCTGCCAAAAAGTTCATAGTTGAGTGGAAAAACCAGTAGAAGAACATTAACCATATCAGGTGGTTAGGGACCTAGGAGAGGAGAGGAGAGGAGAGGAGAGGAGAGGAGAGGAAAGGAAAGGAAAGGAATGAGGGAGAAGTTGGGAAAGGTGTCTGGGTTGGAAAGGTTACTGTACATTACAGCTAGGGATGACCGTAGGATTCAGCATGTAAGGTGGTGGTGAAAGTAGCGTTTTTACCCCCCCCCGTTGTCCATCCTGTGTAGCCTCTATCATGATACTCACTGCCAGTTTCAGCAGACGCTCCACCATTCTAGAAAAGTCCATTTCCTGTGAGAAACAAGGACTGAATGGTTATTTTTTCAGTGTTCTGTCCTCAAGACAACACTTAATATAGTTTATGGTCACTAGCTTCTTACTGTGCTGCTACATACTCTCTATGTACACACCTGAAATGGTTTCATTGAGTTCTGTATAGTGGGAACCATCCACTGAAAGACACAAATAAGAATTCATATTGTCTCTGCATTGTTCCGTCTGGTGAGCCTTACGTTTCAGTGTGTGTGTGCAAGGTAAATCATGGAAATGTTCTGCGTACCTGCTGTATTAACCCCACCAAGAGCTGCGTTAAGAAAAGCTGCAAGAAAAAGCAAGTTACATTGACGAAGAAACACATGTGTGTCCACTAATTGGTATTTTAGTTACATTAGTATGTGTCTGTACAGTACATGTATGTGTGTGTGTTCCCTCTCACCATTTCAAAAAGTCTTCTCATCAGGAACCTTTTACGTATTCGAGGTGATCGTGGAAAGTTGAGCTGGTAGCACAGAGTTGGGGCAAAGACAAAGTAGTACATGTCTAAAGACAGAGACCATCTGAGAATCAGCCTGTTACTTTGTTCCAAAGCAGCTCAAGCACTGAATACATATACTAGTGCCAGAGACACTGCACAGATGAGTTGAAACTACACTCGAGTATGTTCATTTAGAAGTAATGACCTTTCCGAGTCACCTCAGTAACCTCTACTTTAGACTAGTACTTGTATATATGACTGCTGGTCCAAGTAAAACACTGTGGTAATACAACAGTATTTCCAACCAGTTAGGGTTTTTATAATATTTAGATTTTGTTCGGTACTATCATCTTTCCATCCCTGCTGATGGTAGTGACGTCTGTCAAATATGAAATGAAAAAATATTCTGGCACCACGGTTACCTCTGTGTGTAAGATTGCCTGGGTAGGAGACATTAGTTAGTGCTGAACCATCAGATTGTGCCACAGATGGACCTGAAGAGAAAAACAAATATTAAAACATTGCCTCTGAAACATTATTCAGCTTGTTGTCTGTTTATTCCAGTCTCTAGTTTAAGTGCAGTGAAAGTGGGAAGTCAAAACTGCACAGAATCATGTATCTGGTTAAAAATACACAACTTTGGTCTCTGTCTCTTGTCAAAGGCCTCACTTTTCCATGTTACCACTAGGTGGTAGTAGCAGCAGCACAGTAATGCATTAAATATATAATCCTGCTTGTCTGCAGAGCTCTTTGTGAATCCATTTAATTCATTCATAGAAGAATGAGCTGTTTCTTGGCCTTTGTCAACATGATCCCAGTCACAGTGTGTGTTGATAAACTTACATGAGTATGATCGTGTCAGTCTTTTGGCTTTGGCTTGTCTAATTTCTCTACACCACCTGTTGGTATCTTGATAGGAATACAGCTTCAGAAAAACCACTGTGTAGATCGCTAGGGAGAACACACCACCCACTGACACACACACACACACACACACACACACACAAATCCACTGATTAAGACCAATACATGACAGATGAAAGAACAGTTGGGTGCGTGTACAGATAGAAACTACACTCAAACATGTTTTTATTGGGTCAACCGTTATCACAATTTATTTTTGTGTTAGTATCATATTATACACCTACATTAACTCTTATTCAAGTTCATGATTCTTTACATGTACAGTACATGTCATAAATACAACATGTGTGTATTTATATGTACCCGGGGTCATGGAGGTCACAGAGAGTACTGTGGCTGCAGGAAAGATCAACGTGGAGGTCAGGTTAAAAATATGAAGAATCTGACCTGTCGTTTCAGAAATGGTACCCTAGAAAGAAAAACAAGTCTTGTCCAATGCAAAACATTTTATGTATGATTATGCTTTTGTTTGTTTTTTTACTTTACTGTACAACACTGGATAGCATGTTCTTTTTACAGTGGTGTCAAAGAATTCAGTTTCCCTTTAAACATTTTCTAAAAACATGTTTTAACTGTTGTTATGGGTTACTGGGTGTAGACTGGTGGGTAGTTGTACCCATTAAAATTAAATCTACAACCCAAAGTGTGCAAAAAGTGAATATTTTCTGAAGCCACTGTATAAAATAAGGCATTTGTCTGGATATAATCTAGCCTGGATCAGGACAGGTGTCCCTATCAGAGTTAAGAGAAGGTATAAAGAGGGGAGAAGGTGTAATGCTGACTTTACTGTGTAGACTGCATGAAGTGTCGAGGACTCACCACAGCCAGACGCCTTTCTGTGTACAAGGCTGCCAAGATGAACACATTACATGCTGAAAGACAGAACAAAGACAGTAATGAGCTACAGTGACACACACTGTAGGTGTGAACAGAGACAGTTAACTTGATTTTATTTCTCTGTAACACAGACAAACTAGTTACTTGTAGTGAATGTACATTTCTGGTACTGTAATAGTCCAGTATTTTCTAAGTAGTACATCTTATTTGGACTGACTGTATTAATGTTACTTGTAGGTCAGTGCCTGTCCCTGCTGTTCACGACTGTATTAATGTTACTTGTAGGTAGGTCAGTGCCTGTCCCTGCTGTTCATTCACCTTTGTATTAACTTGTTTTACCACGTTGATAAAGCCAGATGTTGAGGCAATGAGTCATCCTTCTTTGGGTAAATAAAGGGTGAATGATCAATAACGCCTGTGTCAGAATGATCTAAAAAGGGACTGATTGATTCTATGAGCTATATTTGAACATCTGACATTAAATATTACCAGGCTGTATCAGACTGACCATTTGGGACATGGATAGGCTGTGAAACATGTTTTACTAGGTCAACAATAACACTTCAACTTGAACGTCAGTCCTAAGGTCACAGAAGGACAAATGGCTGGAAGTCATTCACCACCTGTTCAGATGGCATTAAGGCAGTGACATAAAGGCTCCATACCAATGATGAGGCAAGGTGTTGGCCAGCTATAGGGGTCCTTTAAGAAGAGCGACACTACCTGGATAGGGTCGACCAAGATGCCATACCTAGATGGGAAAAGAGAGAAAAAGCAAAATGATCAATCTCCCCAAGCATAAGGAAAACTTATGATTTGTAAAAGTCTTGGGAGGAACGCACTTAGTTTGCTTAAGTGTTCATTTGGCCTGCAGAAGAAGGAAGTGGCAGTGAGATGTGGGATGAGAGCAGCAGCAGTAACAGCAACTGCTTGTGTATACATATTACCTAAGTCTAAGCTTTTATCTCTAGGTGCATACTCACTTTATAATGTTCTCCAAGAAGAGACGAGCATTACCCAGCATCTGATGAGAGAGAGAGAGAGAGAACAACGGCCCACAGGCGATTCTGAGCATAGTAGTATCAACAAGAATCATACAGAACCCTATAGTTCAAGGTTGATTTGCATCTGACCATTCACTGAATCTAGCCTTTGTTTAGAAGCTATGAATGCTTTGCTATAAATCTAGTTTATAATTTTCTTTGCTCAGGACACAGTTTCCTAAAAAAAAAAATAATAATTTGGTTAACAGGTCATTAAAAGGTCACTGCACACCAACCCCACAGACACAGGTGTATACAGCTGTTCTTATGCAGAGCAAATTATTTAGATAGGGATAACAGAAATACTGAAGCACATCTGTGTGCAACTGTGTAGATCAGATCTGCTTCATTCCCAAACTGGCCAACATATTACTGATGCCATTTCACCTACTGTAGGAAGAATTAAGGGTTCAGTGAGAATGATTATTATATTATGCTTTGAAGTCTAGTGTTATCTCGTCATCAGTTATCTGAGTTTCCATGAGATAAAACCCAAACCCCCAGGCAATAGTACAGAGACATTTTTGATAATGTTTATGGCAGTCCTGTTCAGCATGAGTTTGAGAGACAGCTGAGATAACGAGGACAGTGAGTGTGTGACACATGATAAGGTCATGATGTAGTGATTATCTGGCATGCTTTCCCCTCAGCCTGCTGGCCTTCAGCAGTGTGGGTTTGATTCAGCTGTGTCTTTTTCACAAACCACTAATCTTTGCCTCAGTGACCTTCAGCATGAACAACCTGCCAAATGGAACAGTGGCCTGTACAGAGATCTACAGACGAAATTGCATTTTGCAATAGTTATTTTTTCTTACAAATGTCTTTTTCATCCCTGTGACAAAGATCAGTGTTCAAAATTAGAGCAATACTGTACCCCGAGAGTTTGCAGAAAGACAGTTTCTGGCTCAAAATCGGGTGTTTTACAAAACAGCAGGTGGTGTAATCGCTGAGCCCAGGCTGCCTGGTTAAACAATCATTTCTGTCCAGCGATACACTATATACTGCAGTTAAGAAGGTTTACACATTGCACACACAGAGACAATACCAAAGCCTTGGCAGTAACTATGACCTGGGTGTAAAACTTGAATAATAACCTGTGCATTAGAATATTTATACTTTGAGTTCAACACCACATTTTCTTATCTTATTCTCTAAAACTGATTTGTTTCAGCATTTTGAATGACAACCTTGTCTTTAAAATCAAATAACATCCCAGTAATACAACATTCACATACTTATATGCACCATTATCTGAATCATCTCCAGTATGTGCTTTAGACAACAACACTGATATGAATCAGATGAATCTGCTGCTGCGTTTCTCTGTCCGGTTTAAGTTTGAAAGAAACGGCAATAACAATAACTGCCTAGTTAAACTCTAGCTGCCTTTAGGGGTAGGAGATGTACCACATTTGAGGGCTGGTAAGTTTAAAAATAGAAGGAGCTACTGAACATTAAACATCATGCTTGGCCTCACATCTTCTGGTCAATGTTTTCTTTCAACATACAGCTTCAAGAATGCAGTTAAAAGGCAGATGGCCACTATACTGTTGTCAAAAAACTAGACATTCATATTCTGACTCCTTATTTTTTAATAATCTTGTTTAATGCTTTGAAACTGGCAGAGCCCGATTAAATTTGCAGCTGGCAGTGGAATGTTTTGTTTTGCTTTGCACTAGCCTTGTCAGCCTCTGGTTATTTAAGCTATTCACATGGTCTGTTTGGCTGCACATCAGAGGAAGTGATGATATGAAGCGGCTGAAGCACCAGTTGTTCGTACCACATCTTAGGATGACTTGCTTCTCAAGGATTCTTACACCAAATACAGTCAGGGAAAAATTATTTGAACCCCAGCTGATTTTGTAAGTTTGCCCACTAACAAAGAAATGATCAGTCTACAATGTCAATGGTAGGTTTATGTGAACAGTGAGAGACACAACAA